CTGGCTGGTTCTTTTGGCGGTTTCCTTTACAATTCCTTTATTTAGATTTCCTTTTGGTTGAACAGCTTGAGCTTTATTGAAGGCAATACTTTCTGGATGTGTGATTTGGCTGCTGCATGTTTCTTTTGAAATTACTTATTTGGGCATTGCAATTTGCAACCTGAAATCAACCCACAAAGACCACCCCCCACGAGCAGCCCAAACCTTCAATTACTCCGGGCCTCAAATAATACTAAACAATCCCTGGCTGGTTCTTTTCGTGATTTCCTTTCCTTTCCTTTCATTGTCCTTTCAATTTCCTTTCCTTTCCTTTCATTGTCCTTTCAATTTCCTGTCCTTTCCTTTCATTGTCCTTTCAATTTCCTTTCCTTTCCTTTCATTTCTTTTCCTTTCCTTCAATCTCCTTTCCTTTCCTTTCATTTCCAATTCAAATCAAAATTTTCTAGGATTTTTCTGGATTTCACATTATTTGGGGCCCACACTTGATCAAGGGGGGAGGGGGGGGGGGTTTATTGTTTAGAGGTGGACATTATAGGATGTATAGGTCCCCCTTCCTTAAATGGTAGTTCACTGGGATTGGTCGAGGAATTCCTCCGCTATCATGACCCCATGATAGCCGGCTTCGCTTCTGACAAAATGGCCGGTCGATTTGTTGCCCGTCCAGTGTTTGAGAGGCTTGTAAAGTGCTCCATAGGAGCACGGGATTAGATCATCCATGTGCATATCGAAGTGAAGACACCTTGTTCTTTCACCGAGCACATCTCTGTTCTGTCAGGGCGACGAAGCAGTGGCGCCACACGTCTCGCCCTCCACACTTCCGAATTCAAAGGGTTTTCGGCTGTTTCACGGTCCAAGAGGCATTCTATGTGTCGTTGGTCGAGACTGCGTGTGATACCCCCCTTCAGGTGGCAATTACGGCATGAATGACCTGAAGGGTGACTTGCAGGCCATGTACATGAGGGCTGGCGTGAAGGATGAAGGCGTCTTGTTCCTCTTCACAGATGGACAGATCACCAACGAGAAGTTCTTGGTCTTCATCAACGATCTCTTGGCCTCAGGCCGTCCCCGGGGAGACCGACCACGGGCGACCGGACATGAAGAGAATGGACGACCGACCTTTCTTTCGGAGGCCAACCTTCAGGGGTTTGGAGCTCCCCGTCAGCCGACCCACAGCCAGTCCTGTCGACATGTCTGAGTCCCATGAAATCTAGACATGTATCGAATCACCCATTCCAGTGCCATGTCCTATCATGGAACATAAGATGTGTACTATGAGTCCTTCTTTTGCAGTCGTATCCACAGCATGTTGTGTAATTACAAACGAAAACAACGAGAAAAACACCCATCGCCGCCCAGCTGAGACCAACCAACCGACCCGATCAGGTGATATTGCCGACCTCTACGCCTCCGATGAGAAGGACGCGATCCGCAATGGCGTGCGCAGCGGATGCAAGGGTGCCGGCATTCAGGACGGAGACATTGGTGGAGGGGGAGAGGATGCGAAGGGAGAGAAACCATTTTGGGCAGGAAAAACAAAGAGAAGTTACTTGAGAAGTCCTGGGATCAAGCCAAGATATTGTGCCATTGAGGTTGCGCCCTCAACCCTCAACCAGATGTTTTATTGCTGGATTTCACAAGGAAACAACAGAGACTCTTCGCATGAACATAGCAAGTGTGTCAAAACAGGGATCCCTGGATGCATTTAGATGATGTACATTCGATGAAGTCCCACAGGTTGTCCAGCCTGTGTTCCAAAAACGGTGAGGTCGGAAAATGCTTCCTCAGTATCAAGAAAAGATAGGTATATATATATATATTACATGGTGTTTGTCTTGGACTCTTGGCAACTCTCGGTGAGAATGTTTTTTATCCTTGTGCGCTTTGAGTTGTGCATCTTTTGCAGGATACCCCTGAGAATCTTTGGAGCTTCTTCATTTCTCGCATTCGCCGCATGGTTGCAACTTCCCGGGACGGGCGGGATCAGACTGGTCAGACGAAAGCTAGATGGTGGGACCCACACCGTGGACGTGTCAGCAACAGCTTTCTCCCACGAACGCGCTTGTACGTGGTTTTGCCTCCTCAGTGACCAAAAAGACATAGCATTACGGCCATATCCAAATTGCAACCCACAAGATCCCACTTCAGAAGACACCTAAAGATCACATGCAGATTGAAGGGTGGAGGTAGTAGCTTTCGCTTCCCAAACCCTTTTTCGACACGCTTTGATGGCTCACCAGACGACGACGCGGACCACGATCGAAGCATCGAAGCGGACCGGTTTCAGACCTGGAGCACACAGGGGAGGCAGGTGAGGCAGGTCCGAGGACAAGCCAAGCTTAACACTTAAAAGGGCGGGCACTCCATCTAAAGAAACTTAGAAGGAGACAACATTGATCACTGTACAGTCATTAACTACTGTGTGGCCCCGGTCTGAAAACCCCAAGACATTAGTTCCTCTCACCCTACCTTGGGTGAAGCCGCTGCTTAGTGGTGACCTTCCTTGAAGAAAGATGTTTTTCCTATGCCGTGTCCATGTGTGGCCTCACACCTCTCTCTCTCTCTCTTTGCTGCATGGACTCTCTCGACTGCCAGGCAAGAACCTCCACATGTCCCTTTGCTTCTCCCCGGTGGGTGACGCCATGCGGAACCGTGCGAGGAAGTTCCCAGCGCTGGTGAATTGTGCCTGGGCGCCAGCAATGGCAAATGCGGATGTTTTGCGGGCTGGTTGAAGTCCAATGAGGGGATGTTTGGGATTTGGCCGGCAGCCATGATTCTTCGGACTTCCATGGACTTATATAATGCCTGCTCAGCTCTCTTAAGAATCATGGAAGCTGAGACTTCCACAATTCTAAACATAAGTGCTTAGTAATTAAGTGTGGGGGCTTCCATCGCTGACCAGAAGCTGACAGAAGCGGGATGGAGACGGAGAAAGAGATGGCAGGTATTAGGTATTTATCTCTTTTGTTAGGGTATTGCTGGCTGCTGGGTTCCTCAACCCAATGAAGTTTCCTATAGTTGTTTTTTTGTCACGACATGTTTTTTTTCCAACTAAATGGTTTCCAGCCATCACCTCCCTCACACCCCACACCATGTTGCTGGTGGTTCAGATCCATTGTGTTTCTTCTTGGCTCTTTTAAGGAACGGATGCACTGGGGGGGTTCTGAGGGTAAGCCACCAAGGTACCGTCATCGATTGGTTCCAGCCGTGGCCCATGGATGCTTTGTACAACGTGGGCGCCAAGTTCTTGGAACCCATCGAGCAGTTGGGACCCCAGGACCACCCAACTTGGGTGTAACTTGCATGGCATGTATATAAAACTATGTAAACATAGGTGGGCGCAAGGGCGTGGGAGTACGGATTGCTGGGCAAGTGGTGTTTGCAGCTGGGCAGGACAGTCCCGTGCGAAATGGCATCATGGACTTCTTGCCCTTCAGCTTCGAAGCTGCAGGAGCGGAGCAACGAGTGCCGCGAACGTACATGGCACGCGGCGGAGGTTTCTGAAGGCGCTGAGAGAGTACACGGAGAGACAGATGGCAGAGGTAGAGGCAGAGGCAGCATCAGGTGAGCAGATGGCACTGCTTCAGCCTTGGTGCACCCCGCCACAGCGGGGGCCGCCTAACTTGTGCGAAGTTGGTCGTTGCAGTAAAGTACATTAAAATATGTGTTGTTGTGTTAAACAACTCTTTTCATGACCATGGCGGCTTGCAGTCCGAGAGACATAAAAGAAGTGACCTACCATCGCAGAAAAAGGGGACTGGGACTTGTTTCATGGTGCCCAACAAACTGATCCATCGCCACCCAAAACTTCGACCGAAGAGTCACCAGGACAAGTGGCACAGAATTTCATGACGGTGCAGAGGCGCTTCAGCGGGAACTCAGTTTATACCATGCCATACTGACTGAAATAGGTGTTTGGCTGGCATACCTACTAGGGTCTCCTGGCCTTACTACTAGGAGCAAGGACGCTAGAACAAAAATGCTAAAGACAAGGAAACTCGATGTGAGGCGCTTTGCCTACACGACACCAAAGAGTTTCCTAGAGCTCATCAAGCTGTACACCAGCATGGTGGGCCAGAAGGCACGTTTGTAGAAAGGTGGCGGTTCATGCAGATTTGGGCTAAGAGGTTCTCGGGGTTTGCCTTTGGTTGGCTTGGGGACAGTGAAATGAGTGATTCGCTTGGCCGTTTATTGTTTTTTGTGGTTACTAGAGTCAATGATATGGATGCAAAGAGCTCAAAGCATCTCCAGGCACTGATGACTAATGCAAAACCTAGAGTGCGCTATTCGGCTTTTCTATTTTTCAAGTGCGCTGGAGATGGTTTCCAGAACACAATAACAGCACATCATACAATTTGCCAGGAGAGGGTTAATATTGAACATCCAGTTCATATTTGTTGCCCCTTGATTGACAAGTTTGAAGCTTTGGCAGTCTTAGTCTTGTTTTCACTGAGAGCTTATGTCGGCTCCCACTTTGGTCTCAAGTATTTTGGCCACTTCCTGGCATTGCCAGGTAATCCTGGCATCCAAGCATTGTTGTTTTGGGGGTCCGCCTTCTCTTTGTTAAGCTGCAATGACCCCTTCCCAAAACAATCAATGGTGTCACCACCAAACAGTCAGTGGCGAACCTTTAACCATCTTTAACCTTTTTGGGACATTGGGGACACCCCACTCAAATCCAACAACCTGAGTTCACCTCTCTATTTCCAGATGAACGAACAGGCTGATATGGCTTTGTAGGATTTTGTAGGTTTCATAGGGAAAGCACCCACAAATGGGTGAACCAGTCTATTGTCCTTCACCGAGCCCAAAGGGTCGGAACCTCTCCCTATTTTCATACACACCCACGTGGTCTGCCGGCATACTGAGGCTTTACATCTGAATCATAGCCCTAGCCCTGTGCCCTTAGATGGACTGAAAGCTCCTATGTCCGAAAGGCATGCGTATACACCCTGGTAGACGATCCCATGGATCCTGAAAAGCACTGGTTGGTAGAGTTAAAACCCTTTTCCAGGGGGTCAGGGTCTATGTGAGATTTCGGGAGTTTACATCCATGGGGGACCACCTTTAACCACTGAGCTTTGTTGCTCCACTTGACGAGCGCAGTGCAGGTCGATGCACTGGAGGACCAGAAGGATCGCCTCACCAGCGGACTGGAGAAGCTTCGTGCGACCTCCGAGCAGGCGGGGGGGCCCCGCACCCGGAAGAGAGTGTGAGTCAAGCAAGCAATGGTGGGTGTGAGCCAAGCAATTTGGGCGTTTCCGATTCAACCAATTTGGTATTCTTGGTAGAAGAGGAGAATATGAATTTGTTGTTTTCGTTCCTGGAGAGCCCTTGGTTGCAGCAGGGTATACCATAGCAGCATCTCTACAAAGAGGAGAGTCCTTCGCTTCAGAGCTCAGGGCAAAAACGAAATGCATCACGATGTTTTTTTCCATTCGTTTGGCAGAGGTGGCCGGTCTGGAAGAAGAGCTGAAGGAGAAGGCCGTGGTGGTCGCCGAGAAGGTGCGCGGAGAGAGGAAAAAAGCGGAAACGTGCAACGTCTGGCCGAATTGGGTCGGCGCCCCCCCGACCGGGGTTAGGGTAGATTCGCATGGTCAGGACGTCCCAAAACTCGGGTCGTGTTCGAGGGCTAAGACTTACAGTGACGATGCAGAGTTGATTTGGCGCCATGTGGCACTCAGATTGGAGTTTTTTCAGAACTGTCATGTGTATATAATATGTAGACCTTGAAAAATGTGCGTCACTCCTCCTTTCTCATCGGACTATCATCGCCGGGGCCCGACGGCCGCCGTGACGGACTCCCATGGCACATGTTTCAATCAGAAATCAGAATGCGATCCAGAACGACAAACTCACATATTGGATGCGGTGTGTATTTTATTGGAGAACCTACCAACCAATGGATTTAGCCTGTTTTTGATTTGTTCCAGAGGTCTTTTGGGGGTCTCCCTATTAAAATACAATCCCATCATATGAAGACGGCCAAAATCGCTTCATCAACGAGAGAAAGGGTGGCGCGTTTACTGCACTGATGAGTTGGAACACCTTTCAGGAGACAACATGCGCACGCACTGGAACCTGGTCAGCACACTTGCGCACCGCACGAGCTCAAAACAGCATTGCCCAATAAGATCAATCTAATAAGCACTCTACTGAATTTGCTCAACCAGTGGTTTTGTGTGCTAGGTATTATCAGTAGAATTATATACCCTTTTTGCTGATTTCTGGTGCAATCTAATATATAGTAATGCGCATGACGAGTTGGTATACTGTATGTTTCCGGAGTGTGCGTCCAAAACGCCATGCAATCATGTAATGTGCGTTCTCTGCGTATTCTGCCACCTCGCCCGCTGCTCGCCACCTGCTGAAACAGAGGCCGCCGCGGCGGATGTCTTCGCCACAGAGGTCGGCGAAAAGAAGGCCACGGTGCAGGAGGAAAGCGCCAAGGCGTGCTTTGTTTTTTCCGCGTTGGGCGGCTGGGGGAAGGCAATTAGACTGTTGAACCACGGGATAGGGAGCAGTATGGACGAGTCGTTCATTTTGTGTACCAAGGGGGGGAAGCGTTCGGAGTGCGGGGGAATCTGTTGGGAGATGAAGGAACCACCCTGCAAATAGGGCCCCCCTGAGGCGGCCGTTGAAGCCGAAAAGTGCGCGAAGATTGCCAAGGATGCTTCTTGGATGGCGCTTTTTGGAGGGGAGAGAGGTGGTGCCTGGGGGGTGGTTTGTGAGTTTAAACAATTCACACCCTTCTTTGTGCTGTACATGTAGAGTATATAATTGGTTCCTGAGTCGTGTTGCAGGGTCGTAGGGCTTCTCTGGGGCGGTGCCAACTCCGTTGAGAGGGAGCGGTGTTTCCTTCAACTGATAACAGTGCCGTCCTTCAAGGCACGTACCATCCTTGTTGCGCAGATGGAGAAAAAACCCTAGAAAACCACTGAGCTTTGGCAAGGACGACGATGGACGATGCGCGCGGTTTGTCACCTGAGGTCTCCATTCAGCAGGCAGATTGTGAGAAGGATTTGGCCGCAGCCATCCCTCTGGTGGAGCAAGCCGAGGCCTGGTCGGCCTGGTCTTACTAAAAGCAGCTGGACCATCCCGCACTACTAATTAGCAGGGCGCAGAGGTTTTGCTGACATAGATTTGATAAAGGTGTTGTGCTGATGTTTCTTCGTTGGATCCTATTGGCAAGCTTCTGAGGTTGGCACTCTGCGAGCAGTTTCCATTTGGTTCCAAGTTCCTTGATCACCACATCCAAGCGAAACAAGCACGAATGGCCTGGTGCATGATGTGATGTTCTTCTATGAGGATGGACGACAGCACCAGGATAGTCCTCAGACTGTTTTGTTTGATGGTATGCCGCCAGTGTATACAGTAACTACCCCCTTGAACAAACACATAGATCGGTATGATTCGGTATGATATTCCCGCATCAAGACACATATCTTGGCTTGAACCCAATGCTTGTGCAGCTTCATTCATGAAGATCCGATACCAGCACCCTCCAAACAGGTCTAAAAGATCTAAAGGGTTGTTGGGCCTCAACAGGTATCAATTGGTGACCTTTTGGAGGGTGCTGCTATGTGTTTCTTTTCAGACAAAGCGAACAAGGTTCAACAACTCCCGTGTCCTATTTTCACCCCTCACAAAGCCTCTTTTGACGAAGCCTGGAGAAGTGTAGAGGCTTCGTTTTTGGAGATCGAAAGCTCGTGCACCTAGATCAACGACCTGGTCTTGCAAGCTTCGATTTGTTGCTTTATTGAGCAGACGAGCACTGACATCCATCGGAGCAATTTGGGGGTGCCAGCCATTGCTGCCTCACGCTGTCATGGCCACATGACCCTTGCCATTCCTTTCCTGAAAGAACTCACCAAAGCCACACGACGCAACGCAGAACGAGGGATATTGCCCACGCAACGCTCGCATTTGACACGGCGGGAACCCCCACGTGTCCCGCATGAAACCCGCTTGAACTGCGCCACGCGAAACGCCTCGCGCAGAAAGCCCTGGATGTGCTGGACAAGAAGGCACGGAAGGGTTGCTACTCTGTCGGCTCGAGTCGTTCCGGGTCGGTGTAGCTCGGTTGTCACTCTGTCGTATGGCTCGAGTCACTTCATCAGGGTGTGGTTCAGACCTTCCGAGATGAGAAGGGATCCGGGAAACAGGAAGGAAGCAGCTTCCTGGAAGCAGTTGGTAGAGCACTTGTGTTGCAACTTTTGCAGAACACCACCTTGCTGTTCGCTCAAACCTTTGTGAGCCCCGACATCACCTGGACACCCCCCAATGAATTAGGTGGGCTCCTTGGAAGACTATTTCATCTGCAAAAGCTACCAAACACTTCACTTGATTCTACTCAAGTATGTTCACAGAAGTATACAAAACCCAATGCAGAAATACCATGCATGGACAGAAACTATCAATGCCTGGGAGCTTAGAAACAAGAAAAAGCGCACAAATGTTGGCCGCCGCGGTGCCTTGGCGCTGCGAGGACTTCCAAGAGTTGAAGGCCTTGGCGAAGCCACCAGGTGGAGTGGACTTGGTCTTGGAGGCTGCCATGCACCTGCAGGCGCGGGTGTCGCTGGCGTGCGCCCACCTGCGCTCGTCAGGCGGTCGATCGAAGGAATTCGTGTCAGGGTGATGCTTTTGGTGGAATCGGCAAGTTGGATTGCAGCGCATGCCACAACAAACTTTTAAAGGCATCTACAGCAAAGGGATTCCCAGACAAAGATGGCCATTTCAGTACTTGCCAAAGGCATTCCATGTGGAAGACTTATCTTTGATGGGTTGTCCGACCCAAGATCAACTCAACCCGCAACCTCAACCTGCTTTCCTTCAACCTGAAGTCGACTCCACTATATATATATATATCGCTTCACAACATGTCAACAACGCAACATGTTCGCTTCACAAAGTGGGGCCCAGAATCTGGTCGTGGCCCAGGCAGGCTATGATGAGAACATCGAGCTGGACAAGAAGGGGGGCGTCAAGGACGCGAAAAAACCCGAGCTGAGCGGTTCTTCATCCACCTGTAGTGGTTGGAGGTTTCATGATGGATACTGAGCCTAAAAGCAAAGCTGCCTGAGATCGTAATTATGGATGTAGTATGTATAATGATCTAGGAGGTTTCATGAATGGATTCGATCTAGACGTGTGGAGTACAAGTATGTCTTGAGCCGGACCTTCATCTATTGTATCGTTTTCGTTTGCACCGACAGCCAAGTTGAAGGGTAGCAACATGGTGGCAACCGCAGCCAACCCGCCCAGCCACGTCGCAGCCAACCTTTTCTTGCTGCGACCAGTGAGTTAGCAACGTTCCTGAGTGCCAGGATGGCAGCTGGAAGGGCGCTCAGAAGATGATGAACAACCCTGAGAAGTTCCTGCAGAACTTGAAGGGCAACTTGTAGTTCACACATGGGACCAGATGGGATGTCGATTCGATCGATTTGCGTCAGACTCGCACGTCCCCTACTGTCTCATGTCTGCACGTAAGGGGACTTCTGAAAGCAGTAGCGCACACTTGGTGTACTGGCTTTATCCAGGTTCCATCATGTTCTTATCGTTCAGATTCTTTCACCTTTCCAAGATCTTCTCAGAGTTTAAGCATGTTTAAGACAGGGCAGCTCTATGCAGCTCTTGGACAGGTTTGTACAGTTACAGGCTTGCTTCATGCGGTGCCCGGTGCGGGTGCACACCACTCTTGCACCCAGGTTTCAAGAGCTTCATTGACGACGGAAAGGTGCCCCAGGCGAACGTGGAGAAAGCCCGTCGCTCTGCCAGAGACGGGCGGAGCGCGCAACGCGTGCCGAGAGCGGAGAGCGCTGGTCGAGGGATGTTGTGGGTTATGACCCGTGGACCTCAGTGAGTCCAGACCCCCCCGCTTTCAGCAACTTTCCGCAAGCGAGTTTACCGTTTACAGACAAATTCACCACATGAAGGACACTTCCAGCGATGTCTGACAGTGTTTGACCATGTCTGACATATATAAAAATTAATGGCCAAGCAGATTGGTTTTTGATGGTTTTTGGTGCTCCACATGTGTCTGATACACTGACCTCGACTCGCCCTCGGTGGCCTCTTCAGCTTAGGTTTTTTTAGCACCGACCTGCGAGGTTTCGGCGGTGAAACAGACGGTGTGTTCAATGATTCAATAGCTGTTCAGCATGGGGAAACCCATTTCCATGCTGAGAGTTCCTTTCACGAGCTGAAGCTGGCAGGTGTTTGGCTGTGGGTCATCACCAGGATACCGACCGGTTGACGGAAGGTCGTTCGCTGGTCCTGGTGGACCAGGGTCCCAGCTTTTGACTCATCACTTGATCATTGTAGTAGACATCATTACTCAGACCATGAAAAGATATGAACAGCAGGTTGACATGCTCGTCGCAGGTGTTGGCGTTGGGCAAAACGATTGACGCTTTGGTCCAAACATGTCATTTCACATACTGTGTCATGTGATTTTTAAGAAGAGAACAGATCGAAACAAAAGGGCCTCTAGTAAGGGGCAGATGAGCACCTGCAGTTGTGTTTGTTTTTTCCCCGGTGAGTCGATTAAACAAAACTGTGGCTTGATTTTACTTATATACCTTGTTTATACTCTATCACCCAGGATCACCAGACTACCTAAACTGGTACCTGCCAGAGGAAAAAGACATCTCTCTTACAACCGCCAGTTACGAAGATCAGTTGATCGATGTTGATGGGGCTGTTGTTGCATTCTGGTCAGTTGGTTTCCGGTTTCCGGGTTTACTGGTTGCAACTTAGTACTTGTATATAGTGGAAAAGCTATTGCCGTAGCCCCCACTTCACATGGGTGTCCATCAACGAACTGTCCACTTCGCTTGCTGTCCTCCGTCCCGCCTTCACATGGGGCAGGCCTGCGCGCAGGCCTGCGCTTCTCTCCTGCGCTTCTCTCCTCAGGAAAGATCCAGACTGCCATGGGTGACGACTTTAGCCAAGCAGGCATGTCCAAGAAGTCCTCCGCGGCCGCCGGTCTTTGTGCAGCTTGCTTGTAGCTTGGGGACGGTGCCACGATGATGCACGATGTGCATATGATTCTGCAGCACTGTGAGGTGCGTGATTTTCACGGAATGACATACTGAAGACATCTGAAAATGGTAAGTGGTTTATGCTGTTTATGCTTTGTGAGCCAATGTGGTGTTTGTCATGACTTCCAAATGACTACAACCACGAGCTCTGATTGTTTTCCTCAACAGGCATTGTTTGATGTAATTTGTGTTCGTAATCAAAGACACGACAAGTGGTCGATCATTCACAAAGAGTAGTCTTTCCTTTGGGAAAGGGCAACCGACAAACCACCCATTACCACCCTTTGTTGTTTGGTGTTGTCATGTTTTGTCTAAATCAGACTGGCCCACCAAAATTTGCCAACCACCGTTGAGGTGTGGATCATCAACATCATCATGTACTACGACGTGGTGGTGCAGGTGGAACCCAAGCGAAATGCCTTGCGCGAAGCCACAGAGACCCTGAACGCGGCCAACACCAAGCTAGCCGAAGTGAAGGTTGGGTCCGGCGCGTTTACGTTTTCGTCTCTTTTTCCTTTAAGCTGGAGAGTGTGGGGGGTTGGGGGGGGCGAAGCAAAATCATGTATATAAACTTCTATTTGCGATGGCCTCCACCCTGCTTCTTGCTTTCAGCTACTAAGGCCAGGAGCCCTTAGTAGCTTCTGCCCCTAGTAGAGAGGCAGGAGTTGGTGGTCCCTGGCCAGGAATTGGTCCAGACGCTCGAGACGAACTTGGCCGCCTTGCCTCTCGGTCGCAGCCAAGCCGAGCGCGACCATCGGTTTCGACCCGATGGTCTCGAGACCCGATGACTCTCGACGGTCTATGGTTCCCACCAGATGGTTGGTTTTTGAGGATCTATTCAGTCTATGAGTCTATGGTTTGTCATGGTTTGTCATACTTGGCTCTCTTTGTAGGCATCCAGAGATTGAGGGTTTTCAGCTTCAAGTAGTGGCGAAGCGCAAGAGCAGAATGGAAGAGGCCAATTTCTAAAGAGGATTGCCAAACAGGGCACGCCAAACATTACATCTCCCGGCGCAATGCGGCTTGTTCTGCCCTGCTGTTTGTTTCTTATCCTACCGTGTGGCTGCCTTGTCGTGTGAGCTAGGCTCAAAATTAGTGAAAGGGACGTGTTTGGTCAGTGAGTGGTCGTGCGATTTCGAAATTTATGTTTCACTCAAACACTCACCAAAAACAGCAACATGATGGACATGAAAAGAAACCACGATAACACTTACCAAATCCTGATGACCTGCAACTCCACAAAGAAAAGAACCAATGACCGTCACTCAATGTCACTCTTTTTTTTAACCTTACGGTTTCTTATTTTCTCGCTTGGTTCCAGTTTGTGCCTCAAGTCCTCACTGGCTGGCTGCTGCAGTTGTTCTTTTCACCATGAATCCATGGCCAGGATGAAGGAGTTTGACAAGGCCATGGCAGAGAAGAATGCCTTGATGGCAGATGCGGAGAAATGCCAGAACAAGCTGAACATGGCCCAGCGTCACTCGTCGAAATAAGCAATATCCAGAAGGAATCCTTGTAACAACGCTGGACCATACTAGTAGGGGGACCTCTGGACCAACGTAACAACTGCATCGCTTCTAGTAACAAATGCCTACTTACTAGTAGTAACAAGAAGCTATTAGCTTATTGTTTCTATTTAATTCTTGTTTCTACTAGCTTCTTGTTACTACTAGTAAGGCACTTGTTACTAGAAGCGATGCACTTGTTACTAGTAGCGAACATTGTTTCTATAGTAGGGGGACCTCTGGACCAACATTTTTGGGCTATGAAGGTTTGGAAGCTACAGATGTGATGTGTGCTGTTGCGACTTGAATGTCAACTCTTTCTCATGCTCTCCTCAAGCTGTCATCTCTTTTGTGGGCTCGTTTGGGCTTGTGTTCACACACAGCTGGGCTGAAGGCTGTAATTTGCAGCTAGACCCTTGCTTGCTGCACAATAGGACCAGATCCTGTAATACTCGAGCCACCTTGAGCTGAAGGCCGTAATTTGCCGTTGATATGACTTCTCACACCAGCATGTTCGATTGGAAGATGAGCTGGTCGGTTCCAGAAACTTTCCTTGGTGGGTTGAGACGTTTCCTTACGGTGGCCGGTCCTGCCGGTAATCCACGTATATTACACCCAGGACGCTACTAGGAGCAAAGGGCATCGCTACTAGGAGCAAGGACGCTACTAGGGGCTCCTGGCCTTACTACTATAGTAACAAGGACGCTACTAGGAGCTTTGATCTTCAAGAATCTATACGAACATGGACGCTAAGAACTAGGGTTTCAAGATTCCACATGCAAGATCCTGACGGTAAGTCAGTCGCATTCCCCAGATAGAAATCTCATGTCACTGAAAGGCTTGGTATTTCTATATATTTCTATGTACTAACAAGAAGCTAGTAGTAACAAGTGCCACGCTAGTAGTAACAAGTGCCTTACTAGTAGTAACAAGAAGCTAGTAGAAACAAGTGCACTACTAGGAACGTTTGCTCTATGTACTTCTCTCCACTCATCGATCTCTGGATTTTTCAAGGCTTGGTGGGTGCGTTGGCTGCCAATGGCGTGATTTGGGAGCAGACCGTGGAGAATGCCGGCCAGGCCCTGCCGAAGCGAACGCTTCGATTGGGCGATGGATCCCGGGGAAGACTAACGGTCCAGGTCCAGGCGTCCAGGTGGAAAAAGGTCTAGTAGCAAACGTTCCTAGTAGTGCACTTGTTACTACTAGCTTCTTGTTACTACTAGTAAGGCACTTGTTACTAGAAGCGATGCACTTGTTCCTAGTAGCAAACATGGTTCCGTTCGTAGTACGGCCAGGGTCGCCCCGTTCGTAGCTTCCGAACGCTCCGTTCGAGTCGCGATGCCCTTTGCTCCTTTGCTACTAGCATTCTGGCTACTGCTCTCAGTCCTAAACCGTATTGAAACACGGAGATTGGATTCTAATAGCAAACATTGTTACTACTAGTAACAAGTGCCACGCTAGTAGTAACAAGTGCCTTACTAGTAGTAACAAGAAGCTACTAGTTTAATTCTAATAGCAAACATTGTTACTACTAGTAAGGCACCTGTTACTACTAGCGTGGCACTTGTTTCTACTAGCTTCTTGTTAAGATGAAGAGAGAAACTGTTGGGTGTTGATTCCTTGACCCCTTGAGGGAACTATGCATTTCGACCGATCCTTGAATCCTTCTATACTTTTTATTTCAACATCATGCAACTGGGGAATGGAGCCAAAGAACTTGCTACGAGTTTTTTTTTCCTCTTCTCAGGAACTGGTCTACATCCCTGGAGATACCCTCGTGGCGTGTTCCTTCGCATCCTATGTGGGCGTCTTCACGCGACAGCACCTCCATCCAAACGTCGCACGTGCGAGCGAAGCTCGGAACTGTTCGAGCCCAGAAAGACCAGATACGCCAGCATCAGGGCTTTGTGGGGATCGAGTTTTTCACATGCGCTCTTCCTGCTAAGCCGCTAACGTCTATTCGTCTATCACGGTGTCGAAGTACCCATAATATCAAGCAATTTGATATTTTACGCCGTAAAATATCAAATGATGGATGGCCTGGAAGATGGCGGATGGAGGGCCAGGAAAGGTGCCTGTTGGACATCCTAACCAAATCTATATTGAGGTCTCTTAGTTATTAGTTATTACTGAGTAGACGCTAAGTCCAAGAATCTCCTACCACATGCCTCCACATGCCACCCTGACTGTCTCGCTCGGTCTGGCAAGGTATCGTGAGGAGACGGTGGACGCCTTTGTTCAATATCTCACCAAGAAGGGCGTGCCTTTAGGACAGGGCCGAGGAAAATCCCATTGAAAGTGGTGGGATTCCAACACTGTCCAACCACCGGACATCACTGTCCAACCACCGGACATTTAAAATATGCTGACCAGCAGGTAGACTGGGATGGCTAGAAGGAACAGCCATTGTGTGACACGATGTGACTGTGACTATATTCTATTGATTCTATTGTTTATTATGTATGGAACAGGGGTGACCTTTGATCACCGCAGCGGAGACAACTGCCTACAGCATCCTACACACCTCACTTTGCCAAACTTCTTTTATATATTGTTGATGAAACTGAGGCAGCCCCCTTAGGCTCAAGTTGCTGGATGTCCCAGTTCCATTGCTGCAGGACCCAAGCCCGACCCATTGGCGGTGTTGGCCACCGATGCGGAGATGGCCTCATGGGCAGGCTGGGTTCGAAAGCGGAGATGAGTCGGGTGGGTCACTCTGCAAGGCATATCACAGTCAGAATTCCTTGAAGCTAGCCCAAAGCAAGAGCGACTCACGGCACAAGTCTATAACATCCTCCACAAGCCTGGTCATTGCCTCCAAGCCTGGTCCACACTCCTCGCGTACTGAGATCAGGTTCCCAAGTCCTGCTGGGTTAGGGTTGTTTTGTTTCGCAATGTTTCGCTTCTCCCCCAGGTCAGGGCTTGCCCTCGGACCGTGTGAGCTGTGAAAACGGCGCCATTTTGTGCAACTCACAACGCTGGGGCCGCTGGGCAGCATATTCTTGAAGCTGCACGCTGGGCAGCGCGAAGCCGTTGGGGGGAAAATGGCCAAAACGTTCAGCGGTTCGTGTTTGCTTGGTCTGTAAATAAAGGGAAGGAGACTCAGTTGAGGCAACTCCTTTTGGTTTGAGTATACGGGAGGGTCCTGGGGATGACGGCAGAAGAGTCTAAGAGTCTTGGGTGGGTTTGGAAGGTCAGCTCATGTCTGAGGAGGTCGAAGAACATAGATACATCGTCTTAAATCCACCATGTCTAGCGAAGAAGACGGGACTGGTATTCATTCGTTTCATCCCAGTCTGGCGAAACCAGGACTTTCCAAGAGGTGGCTTTGCACTTGACCGGTGGATTGGGCAGACAGTTCCAAAACATCGATCTTAGAAGGGTTTGGCAGCCCTTTGTTTGAAGACCAATCCTCTACATGGCTTTGATTCAAACGAAAACACAAATCACATGCATCATGTGTAGTTCAACCTTGGATTGGTTTAACATTCAAAACAAACAGGTGGAAAAAGCTACTAGGGGCTCCTGGCATCGCTACTAGGAACAAGGATGCTACTATGGGCTCCTGGCCTTACTACTAGGAACAATGTTTGCTACTAGGAACAATTGAAGGGGTTCAGACCGATCCTTTACAGCCGAGGCTTGATCATCGACCCTCAGCTACAGGGCATTGCTGCTTGGTCAGCAGAGCCCCAGTTCGTGCACCCAAACGCGATGGACAAACGCGGTCAGACGTTGGGGCTCTGTCATGGGGCCCCCATTGGGCTGGTGGAATTGCGGCCCTATGCGTCGAACCGGTGCGGTGCAAAGGGCTGGGTCTCGCTTTGCTTCTGAATGGGTGCGCGAATCACCTGGTTTACGATGAGTTGTGATTTTTTGCCCGAACTGGGTGAATCCCCGAAGCTAGGTAAGACTTGGTCCCTTTTTCCCGGCTTGGAGGGCAAATCCAAGTTGAAGGCAGGACCACAGAGCCCTCTTCCAGGTGTCCTTTTTGTGATCTCTCCTGTATTTGGGGTTCCTCCGGTGTTTGAACTTGTCCCCTAGTGGCGTATACCATCGTCGCTTCACGAGACCGTGGCTTCATGCGAGTAGTATTGAATGGTGACCATCAATTGCGTGGGGACACCCATGGACCATATTTGACTCCCTTTGCTCTTTGGCATTTGGGGGCGAATCAATTTGGTCCTCTGTGACATGTGGGTGTTCCAATATCTCTCCTGTCCCGGGATCTCTCCCGGGATCTTCCGGTCTGCACCAGTGTGGCTGCAGGTCTGGATCAAGAATCGCGAATCAGAGAACGGCTTGCAGGTCACACGCATGGGGCACTCAAAGAGCCTTGGCACCACTCATGAATTGGTGTGGTCTGAGGCCAGTATTGATACACACAGAGTGTTGGACACTTCACCAAAGAAAGGGAGTCGAATTTCCAAGAAAAATGTTTTCAGATTCTGCTGGTTTTTAATGTGCATTTCGAGCTTATCGCGGCCCGCTATTTCTCGATCAGCGGCCGGCCAGCCGGCCGGCCAAGATCCTCGGTCCGGCCGGCCGGCCGGCCGGCCAAGAACCACAGCCCAGCCGGCCGGCGGGCCGGGTGATCAAGGACCGCGTCGGCCGGCCGGCCGGCCGTCGGGCCGGCCCGCCGGCTACTACTACTACTACTACCACCACTACTACTACTACTACTACTACTACTACCGCTAATACTACTACTACTACCACTAATACTACTACTACCACCACTACTACTACCACTACCACTACTACCACTACCACTACTACCACTACTACTACTACTACTATTACTACTACTACTACTACTACTACTACTACTACTACCGCTAATACTACTACTACCACTAATACTACTACTACCACCACTACTACTACCACTACCACTACCACTACGACCACTACTACTACTACTACTACTACTACTACCACGACTACTACTACTACTACCACGACTACTACTACTACTATTATTACTACTACTACTACTACTACTAGTACTACTACAACTACCACGACTACTACCACGACTACCGCCACCACTACTACTACTACCACCACTACTTCTACTACTACCACCACCACCAC